ATTCAGTAAACCTTGATCTAGATGCTTAACAGGATGAGTATTTGCTGGCACGACAAAGAGTTTCTCCCATCACCAGACCTGTCTGGGCCAAAAGTGCTGTGTGGAAGCTGTGATGGGACACCAGCTGCAGTGACAGACTGTTGCTTCCTACATCAAAAAGACAGTGCCGGAATCCAGATATGTCGCCTTCTAAATGTCGGGCTACTTCCTATGCATGGAAAAAGAAAGGTGAATTAGCCAGTGCTGAATTGAGGCTGGGGGCATTCAGCAGCTGCCAGTACAGGAGTCTGTGGGTTTTGAGCAGGCTGGATTTCACTACGGGCAGTGAACTCTGTCCTCACCTCTGTCCACACCTGCAATGGGGGGTAAGAACTTCTGAGAAGGTACTGGGTCAGCCACAGCTCTGCCCATTCTCTACCCTGAAAGTATCCAGTGAACACTAAAGACAACTGCATGACAATACCAAAAAATCTTTTTTTCCTAACAGGTTTGAAGACATGTAAATGAACAAGATTATTTTTATCGCACAAAGGACAAGAATAATTCCTCTGGCAGCATACCCTTCAAGGCAGCCAAACCAACATAATTCCTTTGGAGGCTGTTGCCATGGCATCTGTCCAATGTCTTCACAGCATCTTCCAGATTTCTAATGAGAAAGAAAGAGGAAAGGAGGCACTAGTTAAAAGCAAGGTTGCTGGGAGAAATATGACTCCAGTCCAGCCTGTAGGATGTATTCATACTGTTCGCGTTAATTGGGATTTTTTTTTTCTGTATAGCATTTCATCCATAGGGCACTGAGTTTCCTCTTTTGATTTTTGGGAAGCAAGACAGAATTGCTATAAAAATATTTTCATTAAGTCAGTCAGGGCAAAAAACATTTTACCTAGCTTCAGCTGCCTATGTGCCTAGCCTAAGGGGGCTGTCTAGGCTCCTGTTAGAATTAACGGAAGGAGGAGGGTTCCTCCCAAGAATGATTTTTCCAGCCTACTTTAGACACCTAATTTATGATGGGATGATTTACTCTTTGGAACCATTTATTTCTCTCCTTGAACTACAGCAGGACCATGGATGGACTAAATGCCTGGACTGTCAGGTGAGGTAAAATAAGTATGAGCAAAGACTCTGCCTTAGGTGTCGTTTCGGTGATAGAAATTGCCAACCACAATTAAAGAGCTGAGTGAAGCCTGGGTGATGCCTTTGTGTGTCTGGAAACAATGCAGCTAAAGCCAAAATGCCTTTTTGCCAGCTGCCGACAGCCTCCCAGAACATAAATTAGCACCAAAGAAATTCAGCGAGACACCACACTCGGGAAACAAGTGAGGACAAATTGAGACACCATACACGGCTGGTTTGTCCGGGAGTGACAACGCAGCAGTCTGACACAGCTTCGCTGCTTTGGGGACCGTGCCATGGGACAATGCCTTTTTCTGGACAAGGAGCTCCATCTTACAGGGGTTCAACTTTCCACCTGTTCATCGTCGGAGGGTTCCTCACAGTTCGCTGGCCTCGTGGCAGGCCTGGACACCTGTATTTTGGAATAATTGCATTTTTAGTCAGTAAACGAGAAGCAGAAGGAGTGAGGTCTAGCGTGCCAGATAAATCCACACTTTTATCGAGAGCTGCTAGACAAGGTTATGTAATTCTACAATCAAGGATAAATAAACTGGCTTTATCATCGATTTATGACTTAGTTTGAGACAGCAAAGTGTTGAAGTGGTGATAAGATAAACACAAATTTCTTCAATTTCTCTCTGCACGTGTTTTTTCCCCCCCAACTTAAGTCTCCAAGATACAACTGCATACCGATTGCGAGTCTACTGAAGATATGGTAGTCTGCATGCGAGAATTCAGCCGGTGCCTCCGAATACGAGCTGATTTTGCCTTTATGATGGCCGCTGCCACGCTTCCGACTGCAGGCAGAGCGCCACGTGGCGCGGGGGGCCTGGCCGGGGGCAGAGCGCAGGAAGGGCCGCCGATTCTTTCATAGAATCATAGAATCATATTATGTTTTGGGTTGGAAGGGACCTAGCCCAACCCCCCTGCAGTGAGCCGGGGCACCGCTAACCTGATCAGGTTGCTCAGAGCCCCGTCCAACCTGGCCTTGAATGACAGGTTGGATGCCTTTTAAGGCAGCTCCCCCTTTGAAAGTACGAATTACGGCCAGGGGCGCCCACTGAACATCAGTCACTAAAATAATTTTCACTGAAGGCGTGCGCAGGCCGGGGCTGGACCCTGCGGCCTGGGCGGGGGG